AAAAAGGTTTTGTGATTCCACCTTACTCAAACTGGAAATAATTTTCTCTCTGCTCTACTGAAAATGTTCTTTTTATGTTTGTTTTGAATATAGTAAGTTTGCCTGTTGTTTACTGTCCATGGTACATGAATAGAATAGATCACAGTTAGCAAACAAGCTACTGCAACATTTAGTATGAAATAATTAAATTGAAATAGATTTCATACATAAAGACAGCATGTGATAATTATTTGTAGTCATTCGAACAAATGTATTGTCCTCAGAAGAAATATTATCCCTTCAGACATACGCGCTGTGGCTTCTGTGAATGACCTGTTTTAATACAGTTTCTAGAAACCAGCTTTTTAAATTAATGTTGGTAACTGCTTCCAAGAAAGACTATTGAAATAAAGGGTATTACATCACTGTCCAAACATGTCTACTTAAATAAAATGTATTTGTTTGCAAAAAATGTATTTATTTTAAATCTTTTACACAACGATCAGCATGCATGCCATTTTCCATTTCAGACTAAGCACACATTTCAGATGTGGAAAAAGCAAGCATGTTGAAATAATTTGAGGCATGAGTATAGTCGAATCAGTCTTGGTAATCCAGAAGGGAGGGGTGCCCAGTGTATTATTACATTTCGTATATTATTTTTCAGGAGATGGATGCAATCAGTCATCTTCTCTCATATGGTTTGAAAAAAAATTGTCTTGCTGGCAAGTAAACTGTTATTTAAGTACACAATCCACGGTACTACAGAAACAGTTTTGCCAAACTTGTCCAAGTATTCTCACATCCTTAAAGATGGTATAAATATCATTTATAGCAAGCCGTTTACTTCAGACTATATGGAATGCCTTCCTGCTCCCCTGATCTAAGTGTCCCAGTTTGCATTATGGCCTTTATTGCTTCTGTTTGATGGAGTGATCAGTAAAAATTTAATGACACTATAAAATAATAAAAATGTCATTAATTTACCACGGATCTTGGATGCAGAGGTTGTAAAGTTACATTAATAAACAGAATATTTTTTACAACAAAAAGCATTGTTACGTGGGAACGTATAAATAACACACATAAATTTAAGAGCAATTTTACTGTTAGCACACACATTATTATGGAATAGCCAATAAGTGTATAAAACATAGTATATAAAATTTTATGAAAATATACTGTGCACATCAAAAATTCGGCTTTTATCTAAGTGCAGAGAAAAGCCATTATTGTGTGCTTACTGTTTCATTGCTGTTCTTTCACAAGATCACCATTTTATATTTGTTTCTAGTCGTTTGAAGTTTGCAGCTTTTCCAGAGGTAGAGACTACCGCTTCCTTTTCCTTTACTCCTTGCTTCACTAAATCATTCTTTTACCTTCCACACGTGAAGAAAGAATTGATACTTTCTGCCAGAACATGACGGAAAAGTTGCTAATTTAATGCAAAGCTAAAAATAATGCCAAAGGGATTGAAAGGCTTGCTTGGCGACTCTGGAAATAAGGGATAACTATCTAGCAGTCTATCTGTCATCACTGGGGCTGCTCCATGACTGACTGTGATAATATGTGAATATGATGGATGCCACAGCCTTGTGGCTCATAACATTTAACATTCATCAGCTCTTACTAACGGGGGCTTTATAATTTAAATATCTTTATTTAATATGCAACATCTACCTCATACATCATAATTTCAAAGCACTTAGAGAACCAACAGTCCTGCAAGACAGTTGAGCAGACTTTAATTTTTTCAATAACTTTTACGTTTTCTCCATGTTTGTGACTGACAAGGCATAAATAAGTGCCTAATCACAGCACAGAATGGAAAATTAAGATTTGGCTGCTGAGAAGAATTTTTCTTCTCTTTTTCTCATTTAAAGAAGTGATTATTTTTACTGTGCGTTCAACACAGAAAGAAGCACAAAGGATCTGAATTATGCTGGGAAGAGCTTTCTGTTTTCTAGCGCAAACTCCAATTGACTGTGTTGATCTAGTCATGAGAAAGGGCTGTCAATGTCATGTCCTAAACATTTTTTCTGAAATTTAAATGGGAAAACTTAATGTGACTGTATAGTATAAGCTTCATAGCCAGTACAAAAAATCATTTCAAAACAGAGGTCCAGATTGCTTTGTCCTGAGAAACAAAACACCTGCACTGCCTGTAGCGATGCACTTTATTACAAACTCACCAAAATTTTCTATTAATGTGGGTTGGGAGGCAGCAGTATAATCAGTAGTACATGTGTGCAGATATAATGCACGTGTGGGCAACTATTGTTAGTGCAGCTCTGTATAGGCATTTGCTTTTAATGAAGATATGTCTGGTTTTGTTCCTATAGGAATATTATGTACGAAGTCAAAAGGCATACTTTTAAAGGATTTTTAGTGCAAGTAACTGTTCTCTTTAGGGTGAATTCAAGATGGAGCAAAGACAAATTGCATAAAAATGGATTGGAGTTTCTCTTCTAATAATAAATTTCATATGAATTTATTGTGTTTTATGGAATTGTAGAGACATCTACTAGGTAAAAAAATTATCAGCATTGTGGAACATTTTTCTGGTTTTTACAGTTCTCTGAATTTGTCTAAACCCAGTGCAAATACTGGATTTTTTTTTCCAATTACTATGAAGACTATTTTCAGTAAAAAAAACAAGCAAAGGAATTACTTTAAAAGGCATTTCAGAGACCTAAATATAGCTAGCTTTGTTATAGCTTTTTATGAATTAGAAGGAGGTGGTTAGGAAATAACTGTAAGTACATCTCCTTTGTTTGACAAGAGCAGGCATTTTTGTGGTATAAGTGCTTTCATTTTACTGTTCCTGAACCTTATCATGTAATTTTCCCTTTTCTCCTTCCATGTCAAAATATTGATATTCTTTCAGAGACTTTCCTTTTTTCCTTCTTCTTCTTCTTTTTTTTTTTTTTCTTCTTAACAGAATATTTTCTGGTAAAATCAAAGAGAATGGATGACTAGAAACATATTCCAAATGTGCATATTGATATGTAGCAGGATCTGTTGATTTTTACAGCAGAAAGGTACTTCTCCTTCTGAAACACGTTTAAAGGTTGTTCTTTCAAGAATACTGCAGGTGCTCTATTAACATCCTTAAGAAAAAGCTTTTAGTGCAAATATTTTGGAAGAGGCAATATATGTGCCACAAGCTGCTTTCTTAGCACTGATCTTTGTTTTTATCTCAATTGCAAATCAGCCCTTAGCAATGGAACGCAGAATCCTTGGCAAACTTATTTTTTTAGTTCTGTCTACTAGTAAAACAGATCCCATCCTGTGTAACAATACAAGGTGTATTGTTACATTGCACAACATCTTCCAGTAAAATATTGTGCCTCTACTGTTGCAGTGCTGTTCTGCAGTCACATTTTATTTATAAGTCTTTCTTTTCCCATTAGTTCCTTTTTATACATAAGCTTTTTCATCAACCACAGATTTTACAGAAGAAAATAAGAAGTTAAGCAAATAAAAACGTGGAGTTATTTTGTCAGGCAGCTAGAAGATTCTGAGGAACTTTCAGAAACGCAGTTAGTACCTGAAATGCCTCAGCAGCATGTTGTGGAAAATCCAGGGTTAGGCTATGCTTTCTTGTATTCCCCTACAAATTAAGCAGAAAATAATTTTAAAAATCCATGGCTGAAGGAATCAAAAGAATGAGGAATCAAAAGAATTCCTCAGCTGTTGGCCTGGTGGGCTTTTATTACTGAAAGGTAATGATAATAGAAAAATAACCATGTTGGAAAGCAGAAGTATGAAAGTGAAGCAAATAAGGCCACCAAGTATGTTTTCTCCTCAAGAACATTTCCAAGTTTCTAACCATTTTCCAGGAGAGAAAGTCAACATTTTCTTCTTATGACTGGTATGTGCAACCCAGAACTAGGTCATTGAACAATAGACTGAACAGCAATCAGCACTCTACTTCTGCATAATGCATTAAGTATAACATGGAGAAACTGTTCGTAGAGCCGAAAGCTGGTATTTCATGTCTGTAAATTCAAGCTGACATGACATTTAATATTGTTTCATAGTAATGAACAACAAGGTTTCATTCATTCACAAGTATAACATAATGCCAAGTTTAGTCTGAAGAGTAACAACAAGGCAAGAGGGAAAACATGCTATGTTCCTTCAAATGAGAACGCTAAATTAATGATAACCACTGAATGCTTTGCTACTGATACACGGTACTACAGAGACTGCTATTGTGAGCCAATATTACACTCTCATTTATGGTGCCCTTGTCCAGTAGTTGATTGAGGAACTGGGTTAACACATAAAATTCCTTTTAGTTTCCACTTTCTAGTTCCAGGTTTCCTATGGAAGTCTCTGGCTCTCAAAAGGTTTCTGTTTTTCTAGGAGCGTACATTCTTATACTTTTTTTTTTCTTTTTTAAAATCTCCTTAGGTTCCCTTTCCACTGAGGTACAATTTAAATTCTTAGACAAAATAATATCAGTTCTATCATCTATTATTCCTTCTTTCAAATACTTGTCTTTGAAAACCTCTTGCATAAAATTCAGATTTGTGTTGTCTCAGAGGTATGAATGCAAACTTGAATCCCATAGTGGGGAAAAAGTGCTTTTTCCATTAAATTAGCAGTATATTTTAATACAAACTCTTCTTTCGATGTCTGAATTTTCATGTCTCCCAAATGTTGATTGTCTTTTCCAGTTTAAGTTAGAAACTAAGTGGAAAGGCAAAGTGAGCAGCATCGATCAGCACTGTTTGCTGCCAAGAGTGTTTTGTATTTGCATATACAATCATTTATGCATTATGGCAGTGCAGATCAAAATAATCTCAAAGTTTCTGTATATATTTCACATCTAAACCTGATTTTCATAAATGCAAACGTTCCAACTCTGTAAAAAATTGTCCTTCAATTAAAATTCTAATTAAATGAAATCATTATTTAAAAAATAAGGCATATATCAGTGCATACACATATGCACAGGCATATAATGAGAAATAACCTACATGGAGCATTGAGACTCTTCTTTTCTTTTCCAGGAAAGAACAAGGTTTGAAAATTTAGGCCCGCAGTTAACAGGGAAACCCAATGAAGATGGAAAACTGGGCCCTGGTGTCATCGATCTTACAAGGCCAGAAGATGCAGAAGGTGAGTTGCAATTTTGACTATGAGTTATTGAACACTGCATCACAGAATGCTGTGGCTGAAATGCTGCCAGGGTCCTAAGTACTGAACAGCTTACTTCCCGCGGTAACACTGCAATGATTTTTCTGTGGTTTTGTGAGACTGTAGCAAGTCCATAGCAAAGGGCAGATATGTGAAAAGGACTGCATAACCCCCTAAGCCCTTCTGCAATGCAACTGTTCTTCCCCCAGCATCTGTCAATTAAGTATTTACATTTTATACTACTAATAAAAGTGTAGGAAACATTGAGACAATAATCTCAGCAATGCAGTATGTACATATATATGTATTTCACCAGTTTTTAAAGATTTAGCAACTTTGAAGAAAATTAGAGCTCTTTCAGAAGTCTACCCATCGGTGCACTCACAAACTATTCAAGATATTGCAAGCACAATTTTACTGACAGGCAGCTGTCAAATGATAATGGAAAAATATTTCACATTTTCTACATGAAAATGTCTTTTTTTCACAATATAAACTGTCAGTGCATTTGCACTTGTCTCAGGAAGAATTCTCTATACCAGGCGTACAGTGTCAAGCTGCAGGTGGAAATCAGTGTTTAACGTGACTGAGTTTGATCTCTCGCAGTCACCATGAATGCTCTGGAAGTGGATGCCGCTGGTATCCACTCTACCCTATGATACACTAGAAGAGAACACATAGGTAGATAAGAACCCTACCAGTCATGGCAGTAAGATTAAGGTACTACTCAGATAGAACATTATGCAACGTTTTGCCTCCGCAGTTTGCTTCTATTTGAGAATTGTTCTACTGAGAGATTCTACTTATGCCACTGTTCTTGAGAAAAGGTTAAAACATTTCTAATGTGGTTTTTATTTTCTTGGATCAAAAGAATAGGACCAATAAACTTGTGATATTTGGCAAACAGAGCTATTTTCAAATGATTCTTGAAATACTATGACAGATTTTTTTTCATAAGAAGGCATTATTTTTTTCTGTATAGGGAAATATTCTTATGAGCACATTTTCTGTTCTAGCTCTCTGTGACCCAGAAATAAATGGTCCAGGTAAGATCTCAGGACTTGTCCCTTCAATTTGAAGTCTGACAACAACAGCACATATAAATGTTATATTCTCTTTACTGTATGTGATATGCCTGTGAGAAAATATCTTGGAGCCCTGATTCTCCTTGCCTGCCAACCAACATACATTATCTTTAATCAGTCTCTAGGCAAACCAGAAAAAGATGAATTTTAAAGTATTTTCTGCAAGGACTTGTGTATAACAGAGAAGCTGCAGCTTCAGCTCCGAGATGTTCCTGTGTTGATTCATTCATACAGAAAACCAGTTAATTCTCAGATTAAATACAGCAAAATATTCCTACTTATTGGCTTAATGTCATGATTAGCTTATCGTGTGGAACTAACACATGCACCAGGAGCACATGCTGACGTGTTTTTTGCTTAAATTTTTAAGTATTCTGACATAGCCAAGATTTCAGGTCTCTATAACAGTAAGATAGGATGATGACTGAAGCTCATCAGCCTTTTATTACAGATAATATTCAGAAGGAGGGTAGCACTTTAATGAGACATTTCAGATTTTCCAGATTTTTTTTAATAGGTCCTTATAAAACCAATAATTTTCAGATTTTTGCTTTTAGGGAGAGCTATGAGATTTACAAGATTCATTTATTCATCCTTTATTGGATGTGATTGGCCACTGTTGTATGTCTTTAAACAGAAAAATAATAAACAGAACGTAGGTAAAAAATAACTTTCAGACAGGTGTTTTCCAATGTTGTTTTTTTTTCCTAGAAAAAAAGGACTTAGGAGATACATGGACTTTCAAAGTACTTGTAAGCTGATCAGTTATTTATAAACTGCTTTGTAAAGAAATTTCCATCCTGCAGCAACTTCTTATATTTCAATGTGTTGAAGGATATTTTTTGTCTCAGTTGGGATGAAAAGTTGCAACAGAGTACTTACACAGTTCCTGGTTCATAGGGCATCAAGTCCCTGATGACTTTCTTGATTTAGCTCATTTCCTTCAATTCATTCTTTTTCTTTCTAGTGTCCTTAATTTCGTATTTTGATACACCTCGTGGTACTGACAGCCCCGCCTGTTAGTGGATAGTGCAGAACGAAGCTTTGACATATGTAACCCAAGCTCCGGTGATGTGTGCCAGTTTGAGGACAGTGTACATGTCTTTCTAGAGCTAGTGGGACGATTTGAGGCATGGTGTGTTGCCGCATGGGAAATCTGAGTTCATGAATGGATTCAGATTTCCAGACTTTGTTTAGCAGCCAAGAGATGTCTCTGGAAAAGAGGTGCTGGATGAATACCTCTGCTGGTCTCAAAAAAAATGTTGGCGAGAGTTCAAAACTGAGCTGCTTAGTTGTCCTTCTATCTGTAGACAAGGTGAAACTATATATTAGCTGGATATTAAAAAAAAACGTTCATAGTATCACACAAGTCTTGCCCCCTACCTTTGGCAAGGTAGCTGAGAGATGACACTTCTAGTTAGGCATCATTTAGAGCGGAAATCCATTGAAAACGGTGCTGCTGAAATACCAGCAGCTAAAACGTGGCCTCTGATGTACTGTTCCACGCCGCAGACCCTGTTCATCTTCAGGAATACTAACACTTCTAATTGTCAATTTCTAGGTTTCCTACATCACAAAGTTTTTATATGTGTTATAATTTTTGTGCTTCCATACATGTCTGTTTCAGCACTGGGTTACTGAGAAACGTGACAACTCATTCTTTAGAATCATGGAATCATTTAGGTTTCTGTACTTATTTTCAGCTGTTTTTTAGATATTGTTTGAGTGCAGGTTTCTGTAGACATCTTTATATAATATTTATGTATTTTTGTGGTGTACTTTTACACAAATAACAGTTATATAGAAAATCTTAAGATTTCTGAAGTAACATATTGGTGGTCAACTTCTGAGCCCCTATCTTCCTTCATCAGAAATGCATCCAGATCTCTGAGGACCAAGTGCAGTTGTGACAGAGTGAGTGTGTGGCTGTTAGATCTGTCAGGTGGTTTTACTCCCATTCTAGAACTTCAGAATTATGAAATTTACTACATTTAGAGAAATACATTGACTATTTGTAGAGGGCTCTTTTGAGGGGGGATGGGGAGGTAGTGCTGGAACAGATTTATTCCTGTGAAATGATACTGCAGAATGACTTTTAAGATTTAACTAGTTGTCCCTGCCCACTGTGTGAAACCTTTTTTAAGATTAATGGTAACTAGGTGTACTTTCAGAGATGACCTAGCATGTGAAGTCATATTCCAAGTTTGTGTTACTCATAATGACCTAACTGTCATCTGAATGGAGGCCTGAAAATCATCAACAAGAGTTTTATATTAAATATGACATAAACCAACATCTCTGTAACTTCCTTAGCCACCAGCAGGACTGGGCTAACTACATTAAAAATCATTCTGAGACTGTATTCAAAAACATTGCCACTGACTGTGACTCCATTGATGAATAATCTACAGCTATTAGACTTATATCATTATCTGGAAATCCCAGTTGTCATGTTAAAAATATAGGACACATTTGTAGCTAGCAAAATTCAAAACCATGATTTGAGAGCCTCATAAATGTTTGGTGACTGGTATGCAAAATTATAAACAACAGCCAATTATAGAACTAAACAAGGATTTTTTTTTTTTTTTTTCTCCAAACCTCATTGTTTTAATGGAAACATCATTCTTTCTGTAGGCGGCTTCATAATTTTGAACATTTTAGGTTGTCAGTACTGAAATACAGCTAACTGGCGTGGACACACCAAGACAGCTTAGAATGTAGCTGTAGGTAAAACTTCTTATTGACCAGGGCTGACAAACGCCAACTGACCAGAGTGTGTAGAATATAATCAGGAGCCTTAGGTGAGCCCTGTTTCAATTCCAGGTGGGAGATCCTAAAGTACTTAGGTCTTAGTTGTCTGAGAATATTGAATGATCTGAATGTTGGGTTTTGTTCAAGTTCTAAAAAAGATATTCCTTTCACAGATGCTCATTTCTGGTGATAGTGCGGCTTCTTTCAAATCGCATAATGTGCTCAATGTTTATGGATCTTGTGCTTGTATAATGTGCTCTATGTTTATGGATCCTTCTGTTTTTTGTGGTTGTGGTCAAATGCTTTGTAAATTTGTAAGATTTTAAGATTTTATATTGCAGTAGATATGAATCTGCAGAATAGACCTAACATTCCTGTTGACAATTACTGATTTTACCTTAGCTCGGGTTGCAATGAGGTTTCCTTCAGCTGTCATAGTCAGGGATTCAAATTGCATCAAGACCTGATCTTCATTCCTGCCAAAGAATTGGATCTGTTAAAATATAGGGGTTTTGATTGGATCCTGGGTTCAGGGCAAAAATGTCTGAATGTTATTGTTTTGTCAGTGCCTCACTGTGTGATACTGTGAAAGAGAAGTTACTTCTCCGTGTCCATTTTTCCCAAGTGAAAAATCAGATGCATTGTGAACCTAAATTCATTTTTATAAAGCAAATGGAAAGAGGTGAAAATGCTCTATTAGTACTTAACTTCTAGTTAGTTCTTGTTAGTATATTAGAATCAGAGACTTGTGAGTTAAATATTTGGTCTCACAATTTCCCATTTGGGACAGCATACACAAAGACCTTTTCTTCTGAGTCCTGTTTTGATGTTTTTATTTTTTTCTGTATCTCCTGTGGTAATATTATTGATTCTGTAAATTGTGTTTAGCACTTGCAGATTCTTCTTTTGAGAGTAGTCTACACATGTGTGTTAAGCGTGCATCCTAGTTCTGAGGGTAGGTGCGTGCCTGCCTGTTTATAATATGGTGGGATCTTTCTGTCCACTTGATCTATATTTATGTATTTATTTATCCCTCAGTGTGGGATTGTACCAGCCCATCTTCTTCAATTCAGTGACTTAGTGCCTGTGTCCTCCTTAGTGGCTGTGCCCTTCCTTTCACTGCCTGCTGCCTTTTGCTTTAAT